GTAGACCCATTCAAAACTGCATGTTCCACAGACCTCACATGCGAAGTTTGTAATCGAAGTGCAGCACAAGAAATATCATCGCCCTGACTCGTCTTTTTCGAGCCGGTTTGCTTCGGACTGTAACAACCATCGTGTATGAATATAGTTCACAGAGATCACCTTCTTTTTGCCCATCGATGACCGTACAAACATTGCGTGATGGCACGGAAGCAACATAGTTCGCATGAAAAAGCAGGAGCATGTATATGTCTGCATGCAAAACACAAAGTATCATGAGACAACATCTACTAACCAAAACTATGCTACCACGCTGACTTACCGAAACATCAACAGTATATTCACAATCGGTTGTGAGCGACTTCAGACGGGCGATTGAATGTTGCAGCCACTTACCCTCGTACGAAACACTGCCACTCTTGAGCACAGCTCGTATTCCTTTCTAACCATTCAAACGCGTGTGGGCTCACCAATGCTGACAACCGAAGCAGCATCTCATCTGCGCCATGATAATGTCGTGAGCCTAGAACATTAAAACGCGACGCATACTCCAATTCCGCTGTAGACTGAAGAAAAAACAGCGTTTCCACGCATTCGTCCAGCTCCATCTCTGGTCGCAGAATCTTTTTTAGCGCCCCCCACACTGACTCAAGTCTGCATCATAGCAACAAGCGAGCGATCCGTCTAATAACAAAAGCATCACGGCGAATGTACAACATTCTTACCGGTTGTTGGTATGATTGGCGGGATGAGCGACATCACCACGCTCGTATATGCTCCACATTTCTTTACAAGAATGCCAGTTTCGAGCGAAATATTGGAGCAGAGGGTGCTTCGGCTCAGGTAGCTCTGGTAGCTCTCCTACTTCATCGAATCCGTCCAAAATGTAGTACATGTACCTGAAGCCGCGATCATACTCCTCTTTAGTTCGAGCCTTCACCATCATGTCGAGCGAGTCTTCGACACGATCCACATCCACGCCATGGCGGCCGCCGTAGATAGCGCTCGACATCTCAGCACGATGATATTTCTTCAGATGAAAATGGCAAATCAATACACGAGATAACGGGAATTCCTTTTGTAGAAGCGTGATCTCTCCGAGGTCCTTGTCGACCATGAAGGCGCGAATCTGGTCCCACGAAGAATTATTTTCCTTGAATGCATTGATAGCATCCTTCATGCACGCATGACTCTCGTTTTCGACCAATGCATGCTGAACATATTGACCCTATCATGAAAGAACCACGACGCAAGATGTGTTAATCACTAACCAAAGCATAGCAATTGTTATAGTCACTAATGAGTCCCCAACTACATCAACTGATCACTAACCATTTGGCAAAGTCACGAATTGATCACCAACTAATCGGGACAGAATGCAGTACTTACGTGGCCAAAAGTATCTTCGATCATGAAGCTGAAGAGCTTGTACTTCGCAGCGTTGGTTCCGTGGGTCGAATCCAGCAGCACCACTTCCGGAAAAGCGTCAAAGAATCGTCCCATTTGCCGTGTCTGCATTGTAATTGTCTGCGTTGTCTTCCTATCATCAACGAAGATGGAGGCAGTGTTCCCCCGAACAGAGCAAAATTT